TTCAAAAAAAAAAAAAAAAAAAAAAAAAAAAAAAAAAAATTACACCAATATTCTGCATGGCTATACTCACGCAGTGAGCTAGGGTTACTGGTAGTAGTCAGTCTGGCGATAGAGCTGCGGGGTTTTCCCGAGCTGCCAGCAAGGTCAACTGCGCTACTGGAGCGCACTATCCCTCCACCGCTATCTGCACCCAGGGTGCCATCTGATCCGGGGATAAAGAACAAAAGATGATAGATTGAACAAGAGAGATTAGTTATCAGGGCATCTATTGGTCAGTGCTAGGGGGTCAAAGGTCAAAACCAACCAATGAGTTGTTCTTTTAATACCTTGTGGTTAATTGGTTAGGAGATAGGAAATGTGTATTTATTCCCCTCAAATTAAATAAGTAAATAAACTAAAATACTCATGCATAAAAACTGGTTATGATTTCATCTGAGTTACATAGAAGTTACTCGATTTCTGGTTAGACAAACCCACTAATACTTTAAACTGATGGCTTAGATTATAAAGTATAATCATTATAGGTTGGTTAAGATAACTACTCTTCCAAAAGGTAAACGTAAATGTTCATTAATATAGAAAAAAAGTTGTAGCTCTAAGAAACTCTTGTAGTATAGACTATCTACAGTTAATCAAGTATGTCCTAAATATTTGCCTCTACACTCAGTGACTAATATAAGACTTAATTTTCAGTCATTCTATTAGTGTGGGCTGAGGCAGCCTGTGGAAATGTTCATGCCAACCAAACGCGAGTGCTTGTAGCGCCATCTACCAACCTGTTGTGTCACTGCGTGGACTTGTGACGCTCGGAGTGACTGATCGTTTGGCACCACTGAAAGATTATGAAACATATTATTACTCAATCATGTTACTTTAAATGGAAATAATTTACCAATATAAAACTAATAGATCTGTAGATGAATACCTTTAGAAATCATTTCTGGTTTGAATTTAATAGATTCTACACTTGTGCATGAAGTCAAGTTGTAATGCTAAGCAGCAACCTGTAGTACAGTTAGAGTCATGTATTTCTCTTGAGAAACTGCACCAAAATATATATATTAAACATGAATGGTAAAATAAAATATTCTGTAAAAAGATCAATACCGTATTTTGTATGCGACAGATATAACACAAAAAATCTGTTCATTACTTATTCCATATAACTTGTTTCCATTCTATTTAACCATGAAAGCAATGGGGAACAAGAAAAAGTTCCAACTACTTTGTAAATCAAGTCTGCAAGTGGCATTTCAGCTAGGGGAGACAATCCGGGGTAGGTAACATTCACTATCTTTTCTTATCTTCTATCATCCAGCTATCTCCTCACATAGGAGGGAGACTGTGCCAATTACAGAGTTAATCCTTCACAGGCATGCATTGATGCAATTTTAGTATGTATACTGGAATTTCAGGTGAATATCTAACACTCAACACTATAAATACAAATTCAGCATGCTTTTATTTGTTTTTATTTATCATTTCTTGCTGCGGATGCATAAATGACTTTTGTTTACCCTGAAATAATGGTTAGAGTTTGTTACATTGGATAAATTGAACCTTAAGATGTATATAATACATTTTAGAAAGAGATCAAATATAGCTTGCTATATATGCAGAAGTAAAGCATATTTTAATACCTTCTTCCTAGTAATTTCTTAACTTAGTAAACAAGCCATACATTTCTGAGCAAATGTGCAGTTTAAGTTATACAGCAATTCCTGTGTATCATATTATATCAGCTGTAAGAAAAAAGTAAGAAATTTGATCCACTGTGGAGTATTAATGGAAAATTGTGTACTTTCAGGAAAAAAACATCATCAAAGAAAGAGAAGAGCTTTTCAAAGGAGCCTCAACACCAGAAGAAATGGGTGTACTAAAGAGCAGAAGGAAATAGCTGTGCCTGGGACAATTACACTTTCATAGTTCTCCTGTATGTTATGGTACTCTTAGTAAGAGTTTGCCCTTCATGTTATAGATGCTGCAGTCTCTGATTTCTAGGACTCCAGTATGCCTAGGTACGTTCTGCAACATATCTAAAACTTGGAGCACACTTTCACAGCACTGAAATAGCTAACTTTCACAACTGGAGTAATATTATGTTCAAAATTCCCTCTTTGATGCAATATCACCATGAAATACACAGGCTGCCCCCCCCCCCCTTCTCCCCACATGCATATTTTTAAAGTGTGTTCCAAGTTTCATGACTGCTAAAGCTGAACCACCAGAGCAACAAACCCTTTTTTTAAAGCAATTTTGCTTGGTATCCATATAGCATGCAGGGACTCCACTATATCTCTATGTAGCTATCCTGTCAGCTTTAAAGCTAATCAAATACACCAATACTGGGTTTCTTTTTTCTTTTCACTTCAAAAACACAGAGCTGAATTGAAGCTTGTGTAACTGATATTCATAAAGATTTAGAGAAAAATCCTGGTCCAAAAGACTTTAGAAAATGTACACTTGCACATGGAATTTTCACTTTGGAAATAAAATGTTCATCTTCTGAAATGAAAGCTGCAAATCTTTGTGAGTATCACTTAAACCTGTAGAAGTCAGGAGTGCATGTTGCAAGAAAGTTTGAGCCTCAAGCTTGTCTTGGGACATCACAAAACAATCATTCATTTTAAGTCACATCACAATCCAATGACATATACATCACCCTCATAATGCAGAGTAGTACACACAATTACAATCCATATAGAAATATGCTGCTATTTAAGTCCACTGAAGGCATGCGGGTTAGTCAGAGCCAAGCTACTACCAGTCATCATCTTACCCAACGGCACCAGGGGTGCGTCCCGCACTTGGCGAGCGCCCCACTGTCCCGTACCTCCCGGCACTCGGAGACCGCGACCTAGCTTTACGCTTTGGTAACGGTAAAGTCTGACAACCTGAGCTAGAAATTACATAAGCAAGGGTGACAACATTGAAGGACAACAAAGTAGACCATCTACACTTTATTTCTACTGAAATTGAAACCCTGACCACCTGTTTGCTCATAAAATTACTAACACTAAGTCTAATAGTAGTATTTCTCACTAATTGAAAGCGTTGAACTCAACAAAATATGATATGACTATAAAAAATGTCAAACAAAAAGAGATAAATAAGCACAAATGAAGTATATAAAATTTTTGGAGGCAAGGATTGATTAGTTTGTTTACAATCTTTTGTCTCAGGCAATATATTTTCATATTATTTCAACTGGCCAACAAATGGCAATGACATTTTAAAGAAACACTGGTTACTGCAACGGGTGGTCAAGGGTATCAACACCAACATATTTCCTCTAAAATACCAACTAAACTTTTAAACTAAGAGAACTTAGAATACACCATAAAGAAAAATATCATAAATACGTTACTACAGTACACCAACTATAACATATTAAGAATCATAAATACACCATTAACTAAGGGGTATAGATATTTGAATTCCTCCACCCTTGGGGAGACAGGGAACCACTAAGCCTGATCCTCAGGGTAATAGGAAGTGATGGTCCAGATATAAGAATTCATATAATAAAAAAAAAAAAAANCAAAACTAATGCAAATAAGCGAAAAAAAAAAAAAAAAAAAAAAAAAAACAAATCCAGGGATGAAACTGCCATTTAGTGAAAAAGTTGGAAAATATGGAATGTGGTCCATCTAGGGGGTCACCTAGGCCAATGATATTTTTGGCTCCAAAAAAGTCACAAATCCACCGACAGACAGTTGGCAAAACCTCATCCCTGCATAAACAAATATAAATAACACTGTATGAAGTTTCTGTAGATAACAATACCAGTTTAAATCAATTACCTGTAATAACTACCATCTGTTGTTCTGGGCCTCCCGACCTTGCTGACTCCACCACTGTTCAGAGAATTACTGCTGGAAGAGTTGCTTAGTTCACCTTGCAGCAATTTCTGTTTACTGGGGTCTAGAGTGTTCAACAGGGCATTGGCCTGTTCACTGAAGTGGTCCGAAAAGCCCCAAAATGCCCTGAAATTTGATTAATAATTTTTGTATAGTAAAATAACAAATTAAGTGAGAAAAACATCATCTGAAGGGTATAGTATTATGGCAAAATTTTTTCAAAAGAAAAAATCCCACCTTTAGGGCATTGCTTTATGGCAAAACCTTTCAAGAGAGAGAAAATACTCTTATAAGGTGCACCAGAAATTTTCAGTTTACCTAGTTGCTTTTGGTGACTTACTTTCTAGAATAGACCCTAGCATCAGCATCGGCATCCCCTATCCCTCTCTTGATGGCGTCTTGTAATATTGCAATGTGTTTTTCTAATGTGTGTGTTGGCCAGGTTCGTAGCATTTGTTCCAGGAATTCACAACAATACCTAGAAAGATCATACAAAAGTATACCATATAATTTCAGTTTATTAAAACACACAGACAAAATATCAATAACAAAATAGACAATACATAAACTATTCAATGTACAACTGCATTATGCTACATAAATTCTAGGATATGTAGAACACAGTATTTTGCAACATGATGTGTTATCATCAAATATGACTTTAACAAAAAAAGATGGAGGTGAAGTAAAAGTTTAAAGTTGATCAGAGACCCAGTCTGGTCTGAGCTGGCCCAGTTCTTACCTCCTAATGGTGCTGGACTTAGATGTCATGTTGGCAGTGATGATAGGGATGAGTCGGTTGGCATGAGTATACTGAGATAAAACAAATAAAATTTACGATAAAATATTATAAAAAACCATACAAATAAATATATGATAAATAATTTAAAATAAATAAATGATTTAAAGCAAATATACAACAAGCATTGTTCTTGGAATATCTGAGAATGAATGAAAAATATGTTTTTTTTCTTTTTAATGTCTTTTTATGATTTGTATTCTATTTTCAAGTAGTATAAAGAACTATCAATGGTCTTGTTTGAGCTTAATAAAATGCTGTTAATACTATTTTCAGAGATGAAAACAGACCTTGTAAAAAATCACAAAAAACATATAAGGCACAAAGCTATATCATAGGGATAGGGGCTAAAATTCAACACTTCTGAAAAGATGTGAAAGATGTGAAGTCATGATCTCTTATATTACCTGAATGATGAATTTGATGGCAGTGATGCCAGAGGTGGCCATGATCTTCACACTGTTGGGGATGAGGTTGATGAGGCTGGGTAGCAGAGACTCCGCAAAGTGGTCAAACTTATTACACAACGTCTGGGCAAGGAAACTGGAATAGTACAGCCAGTGTATAGAGAAACTGGGTATTCCTGATGTGAACAACTTTAATGCAGTGTTTTATTATTTAAAAGTCATGAAAATAAAATCCATAATGTGTGTGTATGTGTGTGTGTGAGAGAGAGAGAGAGAGAGAGAGAGAGAGAGAGAGAGAGAGAGAGAGAGAGATTAAATTCACATGCTCAACAACATTAAATTTATATTTGCACTTTATGTCTTAACCTGTGTCTAGCAATAAAAATATTAAACCCCATTCAACCTTTTTTACCAGCCAACATTTTACAGCAATAAAACAGTTTTACCTAATATCAATGCATCCTTCTCTGACAACTTGTGACCTCAGATCCTTGACTGTGACTATAAAACAAGGCTCCATCTGTCTGAGCAGCATGAAGAAGTCATCATAATCCACTGCTCCTGCCACAATACATGCACGCAACTCCTTCAGCTGGAAATAATATTTATTTGGTTCATTTTTTGTTATAAAGTTAGTTATTTCATTAAGGTATTACAGTCATTTGAACGGACTGTCCTTGTCCTCTAATTGCATGTAAAATCAATAATCTAGTTACCTTCCTTTATACTGTACCAGTTTATATGCACAGATGAATTAAATAAAATCTCAGAAACTTCAGAAAAGTGATAATTTACATATAAGATATAATTTAGACTTACAGCATGAACTCTCTTTTCCCAGTCCAGATTACCGTCTGACAGCCTCTCTTTGATCCTCATGATGATGTCGTTTAAGTCTCGGGCAGAAAACAGCTGAAAAACAGGCAATAAATAAGAGATGATTTATAGTTTCAAACTTGAGTTAAGTGAGATTTTATTTTACTTAAATGTAAACCATCAACACCGTTAACAAAAATATTGTCAATTATTCAAAATGTTTAAACATACTTGTGACTTTTTGTATTTTACAGAAAAATTTATAATAATGATGTTGATAATAATAATAATAATAAAAATAATAAGTTTTACTTGTTGAATTCCTGTTTCTAACACACACTAGTAGAGATATACCTGAACTTTTGGCAGCCCTTCCTCAAAGGACCTAGTAAAAAGCTCCTCATCCACTGCTCCTGCACTGCTGCCTGTGGACCCTGGGTGAAAGAAGAACAACAATATCAGAATAAGTGGGTAAAAACTACTTCCAGTATCCTTTCTACAGGCTGAACTTCCGGGTGTTGTGAGTGCCTCTCCACGGCAAACCACATGCTGTTACTCAATTCAGCTTGGGAGACTGCATGCATCTTCTGGTTCAGTGCAGACTCAGTCTTACTGTCTTCATAAAAAGTTAGTGGAGATTTTTCTGAACTGTATTGGAGTTTAAAATCCTATGTAATGTTTAAAGCCTGTCCACTCTCAGGAATTGGGTTATTAGCAATCAAAATTTAGACTCATTCATTCAAGTGGGATCGGAATAAATAATCCCAAGGGTGGGAAAACAGAAAATTACAAAAGGCGAAGGATGGACGCCATTTTATCTACTGTTAACAGAGCATCTGTTAAATCACAAGATAATCTGACAAAATGGCCATCTTGCTTCCCCTCCACCCCACCCCCGATTCCTTCTTTTCAGTTTGTGTCACTCACATACAAAATGGTACAACATCAAATTATGTCACACACATCAGATGATCTACATGGTGATCCTGTCTGCACATGGACCACCCCCATTTCATCTTGTGTCGTCCATACCAAAAAAAGCTCACACTGGCACTCTTGCATGCTGTGAGGTGTTATTGCTAAAAGCTATGTGCTCTATCTGTGACATCTTTCAATAAACACCACGTATCTGATGACAGGAGATACCAAAATGTCAGGTAACACTTATTATAGAACATCAGGTCCCTCGCATCTGGCTTTTTTGTGACCTTACGTGAGAAAAGTAGAGGACAAAAAACAAAAGCCTCTGTTGAGCTGCAAAGTTAGCAAATTGTCCAATATCTCTCCTTGCACTTGGGCCATGTTCTAACCACAAATCACCAAGATATTAACCTGGTGTGCCTTCAATCTGGGGTGTTTATCCTTCTGTCATCAGAACCATCAGTGCTGTGATCTTATCCAACTGCCAGGACAATGGAAAGAGTCGGTCTGTAAACTAACAGGCAAATATACCAAACTAACAACACCAACAGCTGTGACAGTCATTGTGCTTTAGCCTGACTATCACATAGACTGGGAAGATACAAACTGTTGCTGAATAGCTTTTTGGTTTTTAAATATATTTTAAGTTGTACAATGGAAAATCGGTTTCAAATTTCAGCTTTATGCACCAGATTGACTCTTTCCAATATATCTGGTCAGAACGCCGACATCTCTACACTACATGCTGTGCAAGAGTCTCAAGCATTTCAAACACATATTCTTGTATTTCTTACATCTCACAAACACAGCCTGGCCAGTAAGCGCCACTCTATCAAAGCTACATGTTGAGCTGATGTATAATATCAAAGCAAACTGCACTGAACATTTTCCACAATAACACTGAAATTTACTGATTTTGAAAACTGATACCACAGTCAGATTTACTGACCTTTTTTTCTCTAGAGACAGAGATAGAACAGAGTTTTACATTACATATAAAGAGGCTCCTGCTACATCTACTGGTTTTGAGATATGTTTCCAATCAAGATGGGTCTACCTAACTCAGTATGATCAATATCAAAAAGGCTGTCTGTTTATTATTATGATCTACTTTCACAAATGATCTGAAGATCCAAAGTTGGGTCTACCTAAAGACCATTATTTCTGACCACTTTAATTAAAAATTTAACTTTGAATATAGATCGAGATTTTGTTCTACATCAGAAACAATTTCTTCCTTGGTATAATACAAAGGAAACATTTCACTTCACTTGATTTCATATGTCTAATGATCCACTTCTGAAGACAAGAAGTCTACATTTAGAGTAGCTTTTTGGTTAAAATTTTGAAACAGACATCAGCTTCCCACTGAAGGAGTAAATTTGGTCCAAATGGAAAGCTAATAACAATCTGGGCCCCGTAACTCAAAAGCATCGCACATTGCGACTGAAAGCAAGCATCTCGATTCCATAACTCGGCCATACTCGCCCCATATTATACTTTGTAGCCACTATGTGAAATCACTATTTGCAATACACTATGCTTTCGAGTTATAGGGCCCAGACATCCTCATCCAACATGTCATACTGAGATAGTTCAACCCAATGTGAGTGGAACCACATCTTCACAGTGTTAGTCCATTCACCAACAAGCTCATTCAGTCAAGTGCTTTGTGCTCTAGTGCTGTGCAAGCTCTCAGCCATGTTTACCTGATGTGGAAGATCTGCGGGACACTTTGACAGCTAGAAGGCAAACTTTGCGGTTAGTGCTCTATGGACGTAAAAGTGGACTATATCATATAACGAAAGAATGAACCTAAAGGTCAGGTGACTACCCAAAGAGATTTTTTTTGCCAGTTTTAAATAAAGTTTATATAAAGAAACATGCAACTAATCTAGACAATCAATAATCAATATTATGTGACAGTTAGGAAGCAAAATATCACCAGACATGTTTATAGGTTTCTCCCACCTAAAAGGTAATATAAAATAATTATGTGATAACAACTTAAACAACAGGTGTAAATTAAAACATAGGGTAATTCAAAAACATAATGCAATTTTTCTGTCTTGGTAAAAAAATTAATTGATGAATGTATGAAGTTTTCATACATTCTTGGGCCCATTTTACAAAAAGTTTAAATAGGTAGCCTTTTAAGTTTTGTTTGGACTTGGTCTTTTCTTTGAAACGGGCTCCTGGAAGTGATATATTCCAGTCTGCCACTTTTTATTTAGACCTGAAATAACATGTGGCTAATGGTTGAAAAATGGGTGAAAAAGGGACCACACATTAAGTAAGGACATTAAGTTTGACTTAATGATTACATGTCACAAACTGTGCTTCCAGGCAGACAAGGTGGGCAATCAAAAGTACATTGTACTTAATTGCATTTCTTTAGATTTAAATATAACACATATTATCCAGTTTTAATGCAGGGAAATTCTTTTTTTTTTTCAGTTTTCACAAATCATTTCTCTCTGTGCTCCCATCATGCATATACATATATATTCATTTATAATTCATAAGCCCAGCACATGCATTACATATATTAATAGATTGAAGGCACCTATTTTTTTCCTGGATGTGATAAAAGGTACGTGAGCTACATAGCATCATGCTGGCGTACATTTATGATTAGTATGCACAGCGCAATGTCACTGCCTAAGTTATACACGACTTACATTACTAACATCAAAGTTGGAATTCATGAAATGACATTGTGGACGAATAAATAATGCATGGCATATTGTGTGTGCTCCTCATTAACAAGTCAACTTGGATGTGTGTCAAAGTACATGTCAGGAGTTTCAATGGGACTCAAATAAGGGATCCATACATTTGGGGCGGAATGCCTGTGTTACTATGTTAAATGATGCTTTTTATTTTCAGAATGGCAGTTTATTCTGTTTTATTCAGAATTGAAAAGGTGAAAAGGAACTGGTGAAAATGTGCCATTACTTTGCACGAACAAATCTGGGAACATATTTTGAAATTCTAATTTCATGTTTTGGTTCCTTTTTAAAGTGATTATTGAAATACCTAATGCTTTATCTATTTTTTTTCCAAATCATTTTCTAAATCGTCAGCAAAACCATTAATTCCTGTATGCTAAACAATTCATAATCAATCATTTTTTTTTCTTTCTAAAAGCAAAATCACCAAACAAAATTACCTGGTAAAAAGCTACATAGTTGAAAAGGATTTATTTAAAATTTTCTTAATTTAGATTTTTTTCTCATAATTGCTTTTCAATGTATAAACTATTTCTTAGGTCACAGTCATTCAAAATCACGGAGCACCAAAATAAAAATAAATAAATAAATAAATAAATAAATAAATAAATAAATGTTTCACACAATCCCTACCTCCGCTCCCTGTGGGTGGTCTTGCAGATCCCACTGATCTTCTCCCCGCGGCAGGGGCACTGCTGACCCTCTTGGGACCTGGACCTGGAGCTGCTGCCAGCGGTGCCTTGAACAGAGGCTTGGCATAGTCTGGCTCGTCCCCTCGGCTGGCCCCTGAGGCTAGAAAAGTAAAAGAGATGGATCGTAACTACTGATTGTGACCCTGCTGTGTAGAAGTTTTACAATTTAGATGCATTATTAATGTAGCCTGGCGTAGTTCCCCGACTCTGAAAAGATATAAAGAACAGTCAAAAAACAATGTTTATTTTCAAGATGCTAGTTTATTCTATTTCTATTTTATTAATGTAAGTTTTAATTTGTTGAAATGCTACACCCTGACCACTCTAGAGGTAGACTTGTACCAATTGATTCTAGATCAATTTTAGTTGTTTTTTCGTAAATGTATACCAAGTTCCTCTTTTTCATTCAATCAGTACCTAAAAAGATTAACAAGTTGAAAGAGGAGGGGAAAAAACTTCAGGGCTTGTAAACTAATCATTCGATTCTAGATACCGAGGGATTGTAAAAACATATTCACCAAGTCAATAGAAAAGCCATAAATTCCCTTAAAATATGTAAATCTTGTCAGTGAATACCAGTATGATCATAGAAAAGAATAAAGAATGAGAGGCTTAGGATATCCCATTTATAGGAAAAAAAAGTAATATGATAAAGATGGTCAAATGAATCGTGACACATACACACAATGAAAAAACATGACTTCCTGAAAAAATGATAATGAGGATAAAAAGACCATGGAGATTTGTTGACACCATTTCCTTTGGTGGAAGGAAATAAAATGAGGAATGTGAGGGAAGGCTGGGGGGGGGGGGGGTTGGAAATGGGTTTTTATGGCATGGAAAGACAAGGACATGGAAGAAGAGCCAGACTGACTACCTAGACTTGTACAACTGGGCCATCTTGAAATGGCAGGGGACGAGGACTCGGATATGGAGAGCTGCCTACTTGCCACACCCATACTGACACCTGCAGCCTTCGCACCATCAGACCGAGCAGCACTGGAAAGACTCATGGCTGATTTAGAATGAGGCAGATACGTGGAACTTGGCACAGACACTGACGCCCTTCGTTTCTTAATGCTACTCATCTTCATATTACGTTCCACAAAGTCAACAGGTTCGTAATATCTACCAATATTATAGCGACTGCCATTCCAGAATGAGAGCATATTGTAGGGGTCGCCAGCTCGCAGGAGTTCCCGCCTCTCTTTGGCCGTGAGTGCTGCCCTGGGGAACAGTGGTTGCCTCCAATAGGGGGAGCTGTGGTAGCCATGATGGAACATCCTGTACCCCCAGGACGGCCAGGTCTGCGTCCCTCGGTGTGTGTAACGCCTGGTACACTGGACTAACTTATTGGCCACATGAATCTGGGTGGTCTGAACACGCTTGCTCTTCAAGCTGTCCTGGTTGGGGATGGTGGACTGTACAGTTTGGGTGTCCTTACTGTATTTGGCGATTTTCTTCACCAAACCCTCAACCTGGAGTTTCTTGTGTTTCATACCAGGTTCAACTTGGACTGTGAATTCAGCCTTCTCATCATTGACTTTGAAATTCCTTCCCTCCTTTACCTCGCTGACTTCATATGATGGCCCCACTGGTGTGGCTGGCTCTGGCTGGAGTTGACCGTCCACTGTTTCTGGTTCTGTTTCAGAAGCCAAATCTGTCTGAAGACTGACCTTTTCAAAGCTCTGGACCATGCTTAAAACAGAGTGCCCGCTGTCCACTGCTGCCTCCATTTCCACTGGTTTACTCTTGTCCAGAGCCACATTTTTACTGGCTTTCTTCTTCTGAAAAACCTCCTTTGGTTGTTTCAGTTTGGAACTTTTTTTACCTTCCATCATCTAAAATGAGTTTCTTTAAACATAACATTTAAGAACCACTTAAGTTTTAAAATATAAGCTGTCCTATTACAAGAAAAGCGTCCCTATTGACAGTGTGTCAAGTTATGTCTGTTTTTCCCACCCATGGCAGCAGCAAGTAAGCCAGTTCCTTAGTAAATGCCCCATAATTGCCCGACGCCCAAGGATGGGGTAAAAATTACAGATATAATTGTTGTACCTATTTGTGACAGGGTTTTACCAGTAATGAAGACATCGACTCATATATGTTGTTAGGCAACTTATCAACCAGTGTATTTGACATTGGCATCAATTTGGTTTAACTTAGAAATATTGGGTGCACTGTACTTTTAAATCTGAAAAGATACTGCTAAGTCCAGCTCATTGATTTTTTTTTTCGTGTAGGAGATGGTAAGTAATGGCTGAAAGTATTATAATATTTAAAATCGATCATTATCATTAAATTCTAAAACCAATAGATTTCTTTATTGTGCAGAGTAAAGAACAATCATTATGATGTTTATTACAGAAAAAATCACGAATCAATTAATTTTGATCCCTGTACAAAAAAAAAGAAAAAAAAAAAATAATAATAATAATAAAAGTTGGAACCTAGAGTAAATATACACATCTACTTTTAATAACAAAATCAAAGGAGGACAAGCACCCAAGTAAAAATGTACTCAAGAGTGAAACTAAATGTCATTTACTGTATATTAGCACTGATGCTCAGACTCTCAGAACTTTGCCCAAAGTGTACTGCCAAATGGCAAAATCAAAGCATGTTTGTTCTGTCTGAGACCAAGTAGTTTCCCATCCTCACTTTACAAGCACCTCAGGGCTAGATGCTTCACCTTTCCTAAATAACTTCCATATTTGCCTTACATTTTGCAATTTAGACCAGTGTGTATAATATAGAGACGCTAACCTACAAGGAGTCCGATTCCCACTTCAGTTTTGATTCACAGAGAATATAACCAAGTTTTGTGCTAGTTTGCCTTTCTAATGTTCCAAACTTTACTATTTATTTTTACTTTACGTTATTGGCATTCTAACTGGTGACAAAATTTTAATATCAATAACACAATTATTTCATTTTAGCAAGCAAAAAATGATCTTTAAAAAAGTAAAAAATAGAGATGCTAATCCAAAGTTTATGGCCCAAACAATGCCTCATACACTGTCACTCAAACAGTCGCCCTCAACGCAAAGACGGAAATAACTTTTCTTTAACACCAACCCCTATGCAACAGAACCTGGACAAGATCATACCTGTACCAAGTGGCAATTACAGCTTATTAACCTCCTCACCTTCTGACCTGGAATTGGTGGGGGCACCTGTTCTAATTAGCCAAGGTCAGCTCCCCCCTGTACTTATACTGGCCAGAGATCAAAGGGCAAGAGAGCAGGTAGCATGAGAAATACCTTGGAATGGCAAGAAATCTAGTCCTCAGGTCTGTTTCACAAAAGATCCTGAGCCCGAAAATTGGTCTCAACTTTTAGTCAAAAATTTTTAGTGGACTCATCTTCATATCATGGAAAATTAATCAGAAATCACATAAGGCAAATAAAAAAAAAAAAAATAAAAAAAAAAAAAATAAAAAAAACCTGTTTTATAACAAGACAGGCACATTGAATATTTCAGACCACTTTTCACTTTAACTAGGTAGATCACAATGGGCTTATCCTGAAGTGAGATAGACCAATGTTTCGAACTTAAATTTCAGACCAATTTTCGGGCTAATGACTTTTTGTGAATCCGACCCCTGGCTGCTTCAGGGCAAGTGCCATTTTCTTCACAGTATGCCAATGGAAAAAGACCTGGCCAATAAGACACAGGACACTGTTTTATGTGTTTTTTCCCTTTCTCTCAGCCACGGGAGGCTTCACGACCTGCTCTGAATACTGAACAGGGTGTACATACTTCAAACAGGTTCATACAAAGTCTGTACCTTGTATTTTTCATGTCAGGAATAAAAGCCCTCAGCAAATGACAGAATAATAAGAATAATGAGATCACAATTTTATAAAGAAGTAACTGAGAGCTCAAAGCCATATAGTCCTACAAATTCTCATGCAATTGTATGTAACACACAAAAAGATTGATTTGCATGTACAAAGACTTTTCTTCTCAAAAGTTCTTTGCTGACAAATTGAAATAAAATATTTCTCCGAGTTGAACGTTTTGTGTGTGCATGCACGAGTGTGTGTGCGCACTCCCAATAATGACAGTGGCGTGGAAGGGAGGAGGGGAAGAGAAAGTACCAGTTAATTTATACCCCGTTCACACTACGCTCAGTTATNCAAAAAAAAAAAATTAAAAAATAAAAAAAAAAAAAATAAAAAAAACCTGTTTTATAACAAGACAGGCACATTGAATATTTCAGACCACTTTTCACTTTAACTAGGTAGATCACAATGGGCTTATCCTGAAGTGAGATAGACCAATGTTTCGAACTTAAATTTCAGACCAATTTTCGGGCTAATGACTTTTTGTGAATCCGACCCCTGGCTGCTTCAGGGCAAGTGCCATTTTCTTCACAGTATGCCAATGGAAAAAGACCTGGCCAATAAGACACAGGACACTGTTTTATGTGTTTTTTCCCTTTCTCTCAGCCACGGGAGGCTTCACGACCTGCTCTGAATACTGAACAGGGTGTACATACTTCAAACAGGTTCATACAAAGTCTGTACCTTGTATTTTTCATGTCAGGAATAAAAGCCCTCAGCAAATGACAGAATAATAAGAATAATGAGATCACAATTTTATAAAGAAGTAACTGAGAGCTCAAAGCCATATAGTCCTACAAATTCTCATGCAATTGTATGTAACACACAAAAAGATTGATTTGCATGTACAAAGACTTTTCTCCTCAAAAGTACTTTGCTGACAAATTGAAATAAAATATTTCTCCGAGATGAATGTTTTGTGTGTGCATGCATGACTGTGTGTGCGCACTCCCAATAACGACAGTGGGGTGAAGGGGGAAGGGGAAGAGAAAGTACCAGTTAATTAATAGTATACCTACAAATATATCAACAGAGAGTAGATAAAGTATGTGGTCCACAGATCTCACAGGGTGGTCACATATCACTGTCACACAAAGGGAAGTCTATGCTTAGAACAAGGAGGGCATTGAGGACATAGATCTGGCCTTATCTGAAGATGTGTCCCCAGCATGTCAACTTGTTTGCCTCAATGAGAGGGCTGGTGACACTATAGACACAGAAGACGGATGGGAGGAAGCCAGAGGGCAGCATA